TAATTATAAAAAAAATATATTTATTACATTTTTATCTTAAATTTTATAAACACAAAATAAAAATCTTAAAAAAAAATCATATTCTTATGAAACCTACCATTATCCACACTATGAGATAAAGAGTATTTATGATCCGCCAAAATTTTTCATAAAAATCCTCATTCCTTATCATTAACAAGTGATGGGGCTAGAAATGAAAATGGGGATGGGAGGTGTACATTTTAAAATAAAAATCTTACATTTAAAAAAAAATTTATTCTACATTTTAAAAACACAAAATAAAAAATTTCAATAAAAAATCATATACCTATATGGGACCAACATTTTTCCACACAATGAGACAAAGAGTATTTATCACCCCGTCAAATTTTTTTATAAAAATCGTCATTCCCTATCATTAATAGGTGATGGGGTTGAAAATGAAAATGCGGATGTGAGGGGTCCCTACTTTCATATGGACCCGTTACTATTTCTAAGTGTGGGGCTGGAAATGGAAATGGAGATGTGAGGTGTGCCTACCCTCGTATGGACCCGTTACCATTTCTAGGTGTCATCTATTTTGAAAGCTGTCAACACTGTAAATTGGCTTCTATTTCAAGTGGTCCAACTGCTGTCGTTAAATAATATAAACAAACAATTTGACGTGCTATATTCTATAAAGCAGTGCTGCCCCATTCAGTTATTAATGACCAGTTACCAGCATACCTACAACATTTTGCATGTAACATGAGTATGGTTAAGGGCGGAGGCAGAAATTTTTTTCAGGAGGGCAAAATATTAAAATTTTCAAAGTTTAAAAGAGATTAAATAATTTTTCATATATTAATTTACAAAATTTTCAAATTTCAAGAAGGTGACCGCCCCCTGGCTCGGCCACCGAGTATGGTATTTGCATCTAACAATACACTTACTATAATATTTAACAAAAATATTTAAATATAAATTAAGATTCACTTATATAAAAATTATATATATTAATTACATAAAATTTTAATAATTTATCTTTTATTATAAATTATTATAATTTTTTAAATAATTATTTTTAAAATATAAATAAAAATAAATAAACTTCGATTATTTATAATAAAAATATAAATAATTAAAATTTTATATAAATAACATTTAAAAACTATGTGTAAGTAACTTCTTACCGTTTTTCGTATACCAATATACTTATCATTCCGCTCAATTTGTGCGGAATCACGAAGGACGCAGAAATTGCTTCCGAAGGATCGAAAGGGGGAAATTAGAAATGC